TAACAGTGAACAACAAGCAGAGTTAGTAGATACATGTGATGGAAATATGAGTTCACTGATATGCTGGTCAATGTTGAACAACCAGCTCTCAAACAAACAAAACTGAATGTATATATTCTTACACATCATTGAAAAAATAAGTTTTATTGACATAAAGGGAGGTTGATACACTTTTACTGAAAAGAATGAGAGTAAATATTTTAGGCTCTTGAGGTTAGAATATCTGTTGCAACTACTCAGCCCTGCCATTGTAGCACAAAAGCAGCTATAAACATGTCAATGACTGAACATGGCCTTCTCCCAATAAAACTGTACTTACAGAAATAGGTTTTGGGTCCAAATTGTCCCTTACACTGTCATTTGCAAATCCCTGATTTAAGGGTTGCATAGCATGCAATTTACAAATAGCAATAAAATATACAATATTCACTATTGTGAATTCCATAGAGCTACTTGATTGTTACAAAATGCTTTCAGTGCTTTTTGTCAAACTTCTTTTTTATCTGTAACTTATAATTGCAACTGACAAACAAGAGTAGAATATAGCTTAATTTTTTTCTAAGTTAGATAAAAGTGAAATATCAAAAAGAAAGTTTAACTAGTTTGTAAATGATATCAGCAACTTTTCTAAGTTAGTAACAGTTTCAAATACTAGGAAAGATATCTTCTCAATTTTTTGTGCTATTCTCAATGTAATTGCTACATACTCAACACGTTTCTGTTTAAGTATAGATAATGAGCAAAACAATAAATCAAGTCAGGATTTGTGGTGTTTGCCAATTTCTGAAGTATAAATACTCCTACTATGACCAAGGTCATACCATCAATGTAACATCATTGAATGCAGAATTGGGAAGAGATGCACATTATGACATAGTATTTCCACCACAGAGACACAATATACATAACTAACCTAAAAACCAAACCCAGGTCTCTCTGGACCACAGGCTGACGCTCTAATCGCTGAGCCAAACTGGCCAGGGCTAATTATATCTATTTTTTAAATAATGGCTATGTATAACAACCAGCTCACAAAATTACTGAAAATTTAACAATAGGCTCTTACAAGTGGCACTCCCAAAGACTCATAGACAAGTTGGAAAACAAAATATTGAAAACAATACATCTTAGAAAACAGCAATAACAACACATTAAAAACCTTCTTATAGCCCTGGCCAGTTTGGCTCAGCGGTTAGAGCGTCGGCCTGCGGTCCGGAGAGACCCGGGTTCGGTTCCCGCTAAGGGCACGTAATTCGGTTGCAGTTTGTCCCTGGCCCTGGTTGGTCGTGCGGGTGGCAGCCACTCGATGTGTCCCTTCACATCGATGTTTCTCTCTCTCTCTCCCTTCTTCTCTCTCCCTCCCGCTCTATCTGTACAAAAAATGGAAAAATATCCTCGGGTGAGGATTAAAAAACAAACAAACAAACAAAAACCTTCTTATAGTACCCCTAAAAGATGTTATTAATCAAGTCTTTCAAATATTGAATTTTTCATAAATATGACATTAATTCTCCTAACCTATTTTTGAACTCTCAAAATCAATTTTGAGTTGTTTTGCTGCCTCTTTTCCATAATCATCCATTTAGTGTATATTCTGCATAAGAAATAAGTCTTTAAACTACACAGTGTTGACACTTGGTAAAAGATTCCCTTGAATTTTGTCTCTGCTAAATGCAGCAACAACAAAACAAAAACAGTGTTTCTGATTGGTATTCAGCTTTCATCCCATCAAGCTGACAATGGGAACTATTCATTGTTGATTGTTTAGAGTCTACATCTAATTAAATACCTCCTTTAAATGTTAATTGAAATAATTATTTACATTGTATTTTGAGTGAGGGTTTAGAAAGTTCATTACTCTTGCCCATTGAAATGAAAATAACTAAATAGGGATATATTCATAATTCCCAAACCTGCTGGTTATTGGATAATCCGGAGAGCTTTATAAAAATACACGATCCTAGGTGTAGAAGCACCGAAACAGTTTTCCCCAGATCTAATGTCAGAAAATCTGGTAGTATGCCAGGAATGGACTACCTGGAAGGGTCATATGATCTTCTACACTTGATATAAACTTTACTAGTGTGGTTATAAATAACTAAAGTAGATCATGGAGAGAAGGGGGAGGGAGAGAGGGTGAATGAGTGGCAGCCTAGATTGTGTTCTCAGAGAGGAAAAGTGTGTGTGAGTGTTTAGATATAGATAAATATATATACATGTTTTCTATTGTTGTTGCTGTTTTTGCTTTTATTAGAACCCCATACAGTAATGTTATAGCCTAAGTGAAACCAGAAAAAAAAAAACATCTTTCAAGCCCTATACAAGATTACAGAAAGATTACAAGAGAATATAGCAAATCCTACCACATAAAGAAAACAATGCTTTAAAATGATGTCAGTCAAGGGGCTGAGGATTCTATAATAGACTATTTATTGTTTTACTTATTTCTTACTTCCTAGTCTGAATGTAGGAAGAGAACTGCTTCCATAGGTTTAATGAGAGAAAGTGCTGGGGTTGGGATGCACTCTTATGGACTCGTTTGCAGTTAGGCAGATGACCTTTCATCCTGGGAGGACCTTGACTCTGCAGTTGAGAATTTTTCAGTTTTCCTCTGGAGGGTGCATCGGACTGCTTGTGCCTGCCTCACTGTACCTGTGTCAGTAGGCATCTCTGAACTAATCGTTGTCCCCGGGATTAACAGGGAAAAAGGTAACCTGTAAGCGTCTTACATCCTCCACTGATGGAGAATCCATGAAGACAGACTGGAGGGTAAGAGCCCAGTCCACATTTTCTCTACAGTGGCTTGTTCAGATTATTCGAAAGTACCAATTTAGAATAAATCCCAGGCAAGATTACCAGTAGAGGGATACTTGAATTATGTTTCTATTGTAATATTTAGTATATGATATTTTCAACGTTGAGAATTATTCTAAGAAAATTACAGTTTGTCCCTGCCCTGGTTGAGGTTGTGTGGGTGGCAACCAGTCCATGTGTCTCTCTCGCGTGGATGTTTCTCTTTCTCTCTTCCCCCGGCTCCCTCCCGCTCTATCTGAAGATAAATGCAAAAATGTCCTCTGGTGAGGATTAGAGAAAAAACAAACAAAGAAAATTACAAAAAAATCTTAAAAATTGCTGGGGATATACATTTTCATCCCTTATTAATGAAAGAAAAATAATCATCTAACGAAATCCACTAAAATGCATTAAATTGAGGGTGTGTGTATTTTTTTTTTCCCTTCATCACTTACCATTGCATCGCCTCACACTGTCACTTATTACTGAGGTCCTGTTCTTCCTCAGAGTAACACATGCCACAAGCGCATGTGACCTTACTCCAGACAGGTAAGACATTAGTCACAGAGCATGCTGAGAAACACATTAGAGCTAGTTTATTTTTTAAAGGATATCACCTGTTATTTCAACTCAATTACCTAAACAATGAACATTATTCATCATGGAAAAGGAATGCATAAATTTCAAGCATTATGGAGAAAGCAAACAAATATTTTAGGAAGGGTAGGGAAGCATTTCCTGAGTGTAATACATAAATGCATGTTTATTACGGTTGCTTGTGGGATACAGATTAGTGGCTGGGTTTGCCCCTCTGATCTATGTCTTGACATATTTTCCCCCCATTGTGAGCCTGACAGAGAAAAGTGTAAAACACAGGAATGGACCTAAGTTAATACTAAAATTGTATATATTGAGGTGTACTGAAAGAAATCTTTCCTATGTCTATACAAATCCGATTACTGTTCATGTTAGAGAAACACGAATTATCATTCACTTGATATTCTTTTTTTTGTTTTTTGTTTTTTTTATCCTCACCCGAGGACATTTTTCCCTTTTTTTTTTCAGATAGAGCGGGAGGGAGAGAGAGAGAGAAACATCGACGTGAAGGGACACATCGAGTGGCTGCCACCCGCATGACCAACCAGGGCCGGGGACAAACTGCAACCGAGGTACGTGCCCTTAGCGGGAACCGAACCCGGGTCTCTCGGGACCGCAGGCCGATGCTCCAACCGCTGAGCCAAACCGGCCAGGGCGATATTCTTTTTAAAAGAAAAAAGTAACCAACAATCTAAAATCACTGCTTAACAAGAATCCCAAGCCAACATGGGACATCATAATTTTTCCCCCCGTGTGAAAACGGAGTGATGTTGAATCTCTATCCTGGCTTAAGTAAATCTTAACATTTAGGATTAATGTTTGTAATTATTTTTAAAATATTTAAATGTGATTTTATGGAAGTGTTTATTTTTATTCTAATTATGTATATAAGTTATATTTATCAAAACCATACTTTGAAAAATATAAATCAACAATTATGAAAATATTTATTTGCATAAAATTGTATCTTTTAGAGAAGTTAGATGTTTGATTATTTCCAATTTTAAAACAAATTAATTTTATACTAAATGTTTATTATCAACAAAATTATTTTTCCTAAATAATTTATAAATATTGAGTGTTTAGATTTATTTAAAAAATCATATAATATGAATTTGTAGTCATAAATGCAAAGAATTGTCCCTGTAGCAACAGAAATAAATAACTTACTTAATAGACATCAAAATAAAAATACATTATTACTATATTTCTTAAAAAATTACCATTCATGTGTCAATTATTTAAATACAAATAGTTATTGAAAAAGGAGAAACATCTGTAACACAAATAAATTAATTAATTGAAAAAAAAGACTGCAAAAGAAATAGTTATTGAATATAAGATGTTTGGCATGAAAGAGTTTTTATCTTGGTTTTACTAAAACATTAAACTTAATGTATCATAAAATAAAAGTTACTTATTATAAATAAATATTGGAAACAAAACATTTTATCTAAATAAAAAGAATACAAAAAATGGGAAATAATGTATAATTTAAATCTATGAATGGGAGAATCAGCTTATGGTTGATTATGTATGCATATAGATGTATTAATGTATCCTTAATGACTGAAAACAATCAAAGTACAAGTATGTCTGATTTCACCTACCTTAAGAACGTCTCCTTGTGCTAAATGAAATGTTCGGGCTGAAATATTGATTCCCTTTCCTGCTTGAACCTGAATACTATAAATGCACTCATGGTTGTTTTCGTAGTTGAGTGGATAATTTGGAGAGAGCAAAATTCCTTCATTATTTGTTGCAGAGGCACCACATTCGGCTGCGGGGAAAACAGAACGTTGAAGCACAGTTTAATAGAAAGCATTGTCATGTTTAAGCAATGTAATGTATGGAAGTGTAAATGCACTTTATTTTAACTAGAGCCTAACAGGAAAATAATGTACAGAATGGCTGTGTTGGAGATGATTCATTCCCTCTCAAATAATGCATGGGAAGAACTGCTGGTGGACGGGACACTGGTACCTAATTGGAAACACAGGACCGATCCAGTACGTCCGCCCTCACCCCCATGGCAGGATAGCGCAGGAAAGGAGGAGAGCAAAAGATTTTTAGGATATATTTTAAGGTTCTAGATCTCTGACTAATTTATTACTTTTAAAGTTATAATTTAATTATTTAAAGTACATGTCGAGAAATCAATTTTTGTTTTATAATGACTCTACTTGGATCTTTTTATTTTTACCTTTTTTGAATTTGACTCCTTTTTCTCCCGATAGCATTTCCCTGATTCAAGAACTTCAGTAACAAAAAGGTAAATACACACTGCATTATCTTTGAACACGGATATAACAAGCAAAACCCACAAACCAATAATCGTAACAAATCGAGTATCTTTAGAAATTGTATTACCTTTCTATCTAAAAGATAGAATAGATTAAGGCATTCCTATAATCATTATATTGTACTACTAACTCTCCAGGACTAATTTTGCAAAATGTGTGGAGATGTCTTACCACTTAGAGGGAATTAGACATTTCTTAATTCTTAGACATTTCTTAATTTTTTTTTTCCAAATTTAATTTCAACTTGTTACTTAAAAAGCTTGTAGCAATACTGTAGTGTCAGACAAGGCCTTATGATTCCCAGACATATTCCTTAGTTACAGAAGTTCAGAGAACTCTGTTTCGCATCTTACCCAATAACTTGCTTCATCTCACCATACCATATGCCAGGGAGAGTTATATTTTTTTAAAGGTTTCACTAACCAGAAAATAAGTCAAGTCATTATTTTCCAGAAATAAGATTTTTTTAAATAATGGTTCATGGGAACAGTCACAGGAAGTATAGAACAAGGTGAGCAACAATGAATTGCTTTACCTTTTAAATGATTCAACATTAACAAAAATAAGGCAAAAGAAAAAAGCCCAATGAGGACATGAAAATGATCAAGATTGAGCTCTCAGTACAATATCAACATAGTCTAGAATAATAAAAACGAATGATATAATGCTAAAAATCAACCAGTCACATGAGGAAATGTAGTACAATGTAGTTCCTCCACGTTTATTTAATGTAAAAGGAAAACAAAACATGATCTCACAGAACCCTGATACTGATTTAAATTATTTTAATGTTACTTATGTTCAGACATAATAATAGCTATGTCTTTCTGTTTTTAGCTGTACACAAGTATAATACCAAAACAAGTTTACGAATACAGGAACAAAACTACAAAAACAATAAAATTAAAAATAGCACCACTTATGTGTTGTGGCACAGGGTTTTGTTCTCCTGAAATTAAATTGCCCTTGGCCATGGGGGTCAAGAGCCAGCTGCTGGAGTACAGGCTCTTGGAGTTTGCTATGCCTTGAATTATACGGTGCTGTGTAGGAGTCAATTCTCCCTCATCTTATCCTCTCTGAACTGTCAGGAAACTTTCATCTGCATAGTATAACATAACACCATGCATCCTTCACTTAGTGGGAAAAAATTGTTTACATTTTAAATCTGCCTCTTTCCTTTTCACGAGCTATTTTGAATCCAGGTATGCTTGTGGGGACACAGAGACAAATGTATTGGATCATACAGATGATTCAGAATGCAAATGTATGTTTATCAGTTTGATTATCAGAGAATGAAAACAGCTTTAAATTATGTTACAAAATCATGAGGTTCTGACAATATGTTTTTTAGTTAGTTTGTTTTGAGAGAGAGAGAGAGGAAGAGAAATATTAATGTGAGAGAGAAACAATATTTGGTTGCTTCCAGTATGTGCCCTGACTGGGGATTGAACCTGCAACCTTTTGGTGTACTGGACAATGCTCCAACCACCTGAGCCACCTAGCCAGGGCCTGAACATACACACACACACACACACACACACACGCACATGCACACACACATGCACACACACACACACACACACAGAAAGAGAGATTTGTTGTCGTTGATAATCCTCACCAGAGGATATTTTTCCCTTTGCTTTTTAGAGAAAGTGGAAGGCAGGGAGGGAGAGGGAGAAAAAGAGAGAGGGGGAGAGAGAAACATTGATGTGAGAGACACATTGATTGGTTGCCTCCCACAGGTGCGATCAAATCTGCCACACAGATATGTGCCCTTAACTAGGAATTGAACCCAAGACCCTTGCCCTTTCGCACCTGGGTCCATGCTTCAACCACTGAGCCACACTCGACACTCGCCAGGACCCCACAACATGTTCTTCATGCCAGCTTGCAAAACAGTGATACATTGATTAAGAGCTCAAGCTTTAAACTTCAGAGATTTCATCTTCAGAATTAAGCTCTATCTTCTATCTGTATATCTTTGACAAGTTATTTATTCTTTCTCTTAAGCCTCAATACTATTATTATTGCAGTGAAAATAATTATAGCCTCCTCACAGGGATGTTTAGTTTGTATGTGTACAGTCGAAAATATAGACTGATAATAGATGTAGAGCATTAGCCAAGTTCTGGCATACAAACAGCAGCTTAATAAATTAGAGCTATCATTATGTATGAATATTTTTTTAATCTTTCTTTTTTCTTTATTGATTTTAGAGAGAGATGGAGAGGGAGAGAGAGAGAAACACTGATGAGCTGGAACATTGATGGGCCACCTCCTGCATGCTCCCCAGTGGGGATCTGGCCTACAACCTGGACATGTGCCCTGACCAGGAATCAAACCAGCGACTGCTTGGTGCATGGGTTGGGGCTCATCCACTGAGCCACACTAGCCAGGTGACCACTATGAATGTTTTAAGTACAAGTCCTAATGGTGGCATCATATTATATACACAGAAAAAGAGGTTAGGATATTTATACTGTCCCTAATGTGACTCTCCAGGTGTAGACAGATAATTATTTGTGAAAAGTAAGAAGACTTCTACCTTTGGAGAATCACTTATGATACTTAAATTATTTTAACAATTTGTATAAACTGAGGTTTTGCTCAGTAAAAGTAACTTCAACTACCCTTCAAAATACACCAATAATTTATTGTTAAATTCTCAACATCTGAGTAGGTGGTAGGTCTCTTCTGCCATAAACATTATTAGATTTATACTGTATACTTCCAAGGAGGTTTGCTTTTATATGAAATATAACCCACTTTTGTTATATTTTAATATTTCAGTTGGTATAAAATGGATAAAAGTTGTTTCCCGTCTGGTGAGATGAAATCAAAGAACTAAGACAGAAAATTTGGATTAAATTAGTACCTCCACATGCAGTCAGGGAAGAGCATAAACCGTGGGGCCCAGTGCACAGTGGAAACGCACCGACCCTTAGTGAAGGGTGTGCAGTGTCTTAGGAGGCCAGAGAGGATGGGACCGAGCACGGACCTCTGGCACGAGCCCCGTGCAACCCGCGCATCTCACGCCTGCGAGGCCAGCTCTGCATTTATTCCCCACAGCTTTGCAAGGAAAGCCCTCTCTTCTCCAGTTTTCAGATGAAGACACCAAAGTCAGCTTTCTTGTTAAAATCAAACAAACAGAGTGTGTCAGAGCTGGGATTCACATCTGTCATTATACATGGTGTTAAGCTAAATTCTTTTTTAGTGTGGCAGGAGGCACTATATACTGATTAGCCCCTGTATCCAGTACACATTGAGACTATTCCAGATAAATTGGTATGCAAGGTCACTTTCTTCTTGTTACTTTAACTTCTGCACACACTGTTCAAAAACAATCTGTTAAAAATCAAGAGGGTCCTGTTTGGCATAGGCCTGAGGACCAAAGGGTTGTGGGTTTGATTCTTAGTCAAGTGCACATACTTGGGTTGCAGGTTCAATGTTTCTCTCTCACTTGCTCTCTCCTTCCCTCTCTTACACTCTCTCTAGACAACAACAGCAGCAGCAACAGCAACAACAAATAATGGAAAAATATCCTCGGGTAACAATTAACAAACAAAGAAACAAACAAAAAATCAACAGGATTCATTTACATGGCTAGGGTATGTCCTGGAGGTCAGAACACATTCACCCTACATATAATGTATTAATCTGTACTCCATTATACATAAATATTAATGTATCAATGTTTAGAATCATTATATTATTTCAAAGGAGGATATTAAAGAGATAAACCAAGCACATAAGCATAACCAATGGGCACAGACAACAATGCTGTGGGTAGGGAGGTGGGCGGAATGGGAGAGGGGGGTCAGTGGGGTAAAAAGGAGAAACATCTGTAACAAAAATTAATTAATTTTAAAAAAGATTAAATAACTTATGGATTATGACCTTCAAAAGAAAAGGAGGATATTAAAATATAAACAATGCAAACCTGTTCAGTGTGTTCTACTTTTATGTACAGGAAAAAGAACAAATTTATTTTTTTCAGTAAGGGTTTTGATAAAATAAATTACCTACTAACAGGTTGATGGGGAACTTCTTTAACCAGAAAACCAATCTCTGGGAGCTAGGTGATTAATAAAGAATTTACTTTTACATGGAATCACATCTTTGATTTTATCTTTGAGTTTAAAATATACCAAACACTGGCTTCCCAGTACCCAGAGTAGCACTAACATTTGCCTTGTATAAGCTCTCTCTTTGCACTTCAGCGAGAGCAGTCTTTCTTGCCAACTGGAACTGAACAAGATCTAATGTTGAAATTAACAAACTTTGCACAGTTTGACCATATGCCTAAGTCTAGCAATGAACATGCTTCTCTCTCTGTTGTGTAATAAGCTGACACAATGATATTTTCCAAATGCAAATCTGATCTTGTACTTTCTCCCTAAAATATACTCACCATCAGCAAGTCAAAGTCCACGGAATCTCACACAAGGCCATTTATAATGTGGACACATCTAGCTTT